TGGCCTGGAGGGGAGTCGAGGGGGCCGTCGGGCGCGCGCCTGGCGTCGCGGCTGGGGACGCTCTCGCTTGCGCGCCCCTTTCCTCGGTCCTGCGCTCGCCTCGCGCACCTGGCGTCGCCGCGGTGCTCTCGACGGCCCGCGGTCCCGACCTTGTGGATCCACGGTCCAATCCGACGACACACGATTCTCACAGTCCCTCATCTATACCCCAATTCATCCTCTCCCCCCCCCCCCCAGAATACCTGTACCTGGTGCTGGTGCTCAACCAGGTGGCGCTGCCAGAGGAGGCGCTCTTCATACTCAGGTCAGGGGGCGGGCCACGAGGCAGCACGGGGGCCCCGCACGCGCATGGATGTGCGCGCACCTGCCCCGCAGCCCGTCGCCGTCACAGGCTCGCGCTGCCTTTTTGCTCACGTGCCAGGGTCGCACTCGCCACTAGCCGTCCGTGCGCTTGGCGCCCGCACAACCCGTCTTCTCAACCCCGGCACTCCGCTTTTCCCACCTCTCCCCCCATGCCCCTTCCCATCTGCAGTTGCGTCCAACCCCCCTTCTTCCCCAGCACCCACACACAGACTTACACACAGACGCCCTCACAAACACACAACCCCCTGCCGGCAGGTACCAGAAGTTTTACAGCCTCACGCGCCCCGGCGGCGCGTACAAGCAGCTGCTGTCCCCCGAGGACTCCTCCATGATCCCGCTGCTCTCCGCGTTCCAGCGGCTGGCGGTGTACCGCCGCGTGAAGCTGCCGCCCCAGGCGCTGCGCGGGCAGGCGCTGTACGATTACTACGACGCGCTCGTTGCCAAGTACATCGGGCGGGAGCGGCTGTACTGGTGAAGCGCGGCGACCCGGGTTGCTGCGGGGCGCACGGCGCCGCCGTCGCCGTCCCGTAGTTGCGGGAGGAGCGGCGGCACGCTGCCTGGCGGGCGGCGGGGACAGGGATTCTGGCGGCCAAGCCTGGGGAGGGCGGCAGGGGTGCTGGCAAGGTGGCAAGAGTCTGGCTTCGACGGGGCGTGAGGGGCCGTTTGCTTTTGTGCCCCCAGGGGCGCCGCTGGGAGAGCGGCGCCCGCCCCCAGCGTCGCGGCCCGCCGCCCAAACTGGGCTTTGAGGCGTGTTGCTGGCGGCAACGCCTACTTCCAGGGCTCTGATGGAGCAAACGGCTTCACAACCGGAGGACGGCTTGACAATCGGTTTCATCTCATCTAGGTTCCATCTCGGGCAAGGGGGGCATGCAGCGTCGAAATCTGTAGGGGGGCGGGGCGCAACAAGGCCACCTGTTGCCACATGCACACTTTGCGCGGGGGGCCACCCGCCCATCTTGGCGGGGTGGCGCGCCCGCCGCAATCATGTGACAGCCCCAAATTCCCGTGCCGGCCCCCGGCACCAGCCTTTTTGGGCAGTCAGTTGTACTCGGTTTTGAAAGCTCACAACGCTGTATTTTCTTGACGTGCCGGCGCGGGCAGAGGCATGGGCGCGCCCGCCGCCGCGGGTTTTGACGTGCGACGTGCGGGGCACGCGCACAGCCGCAGATCTTTTGCAGCCTGCCGCGGTGCACACGCATGCAGCGCCGTTGGCGCAGGCATGCCTTTGGCGACCGCCCGCCGCCAGGCGCGATACGGGCCCGGGCAGCAGAGCGGCGCCAGCATGTGCTGAATGCGCGTCGTCTTCTTTTGCAGGGAGCTTGCTTGCTTTTGGAGGTGAGCAGGCCCCTCCGCCCCCGTTGTGTGACAATCGCAAGGCCATGTGCGCCCGCTGCTTTGAGTATCTTTCAACGCCGCTGCTTCCCGCTGGTGGCGCCGCACCACTTTGCGACCGCTGGGCGAAGCGGCTCCCCTTAGGTGTCTTTATTGATATTGGCTCGGGCAGTGCGCTGCGCCCGAGTGGCGCAGCGGGCGCCGCGCGTTTGGCGCCGTTGGAGCGGCTCCGTCCGTCTTCGGTTGCTGTGTGCGCGCCCGCTGCGCCTCCTGCTCTCCTAAGCATTCATGGGAAGGCATGGACTCCTTACTAGCATCCTGAACGTGTTGCCGAGTGGTCCTTTGTGTGCGTACCCAGTGTGTTGTCTCCAGACCAAAGGTTTGACCGTCAATTGACCGTCAGACTGACCAGGTCAATTGACCACCACCAAACGATTTGGCAGCTACCCCCTTGTGTGCAGAGTGGCGTGTCGTCAAGCGTGTGTCCAGGGCTCCGCCACGCCACCCATGTGTACCAACCCACTTGCCCTGCCGTCCCGCTGGCGCGGCTGTCGAGTGAGTGCGCACGTCTGTCTGTCTGTACTGGATCTGACAATATGCCCGCCGCCCCACCCACACTCCCCTTGGCACGGCGCGGGTGCCAAGAGTCGCATCAAAAGGGCCAAGCAATCACACACGCGGGCGCCGCTCTTATTTTGAAGCGAGGCATCGAGGCAGCCAAAACCACCGGCGCCCCCTTTTTTGAGCACATATCCCTGCGCGGAGTTTTTCACGGGCGCGACAACGGCGATGCCTCGCAGTACAAAACAGCCCGCCGTGTTTGCTCCCGTGCATTAGCGGGGCTGCGCGGCGGGTGGGGGCCTACACGTCCGTCCCTTTCAAAAACAATCCTGGATTGGCCTCAGCTGTTGATCACGAACAATCCGGCCCCAGCGGTCCCAGCCGCCCGCCGGGCCTGACGCATGGCCCTTCCTGGGTGTCAGGCGCGCTGCTTCACACAGCATTGTCGGGGGCCGCCCAGCGCTGGCCGCGCGCCTTATGCCGTGTCGTGTTGCTTTACCGCAGCTGGCTTGAAAGCAGTTGTGGTTGGTCTTGAGCACCGTCGCGGGGCCAAGCAACCCGGGCCCTCACCCTACACTTTGCAGCCTTGCCTCCAAATACTGCAGTTGCCCACCAATGTAATGACTGAGGGTGCAAGGTTTGGTGTCATTGAGGGTTACATGGGCTAAGGGGTGTGTCCACAACTCGCACAGCTTTTGCAGGGAACAGTTGAGACAAGTCAAGGCGTGCACCAGCAGCACAGAGGGGCCTGCTGATTGGGCTTTGCGTGCGTGACCTGGGGCGGCAGAGAAATCAGCATCCTCGCAGCCGAGACGGCACTCCTCACGCGCCGCCGTCGCTGACGCCCCCGTCATCGCTCGACGTGCCGCGCCGCGCCCCGCAGCCGCGCCGCGCCGAGCGGCTCTGCCTGGCCCCCGCAACGCCAAGGGGCGAGGGCAGGGGCGCCGCGCTGCCCTTGAGCCCCGGGAGAGCCACGCCCGGGCGCCGCGGGGCCGCAGCCCCGCCGCTGACGGCGCGCGCGCACGCGTCCGGCGGCGAGACGTCGGATGCCGGCGCGTCTGGTGCATTGCTGGCCAGGGGGCCGTCCGCCTCCTCCTCCTCCTCCTGCGCACGACGCTGTTGCTCTGACTCAGCATCAGCCTCGCCCACCTGCACGAGATCTGCACCCCCCTCACACTCTGCCGCGATTTGCAGCGCCCGCTCGTCTGCCAGCTCAGACTCACGCATCAACCCCGCCTGAATAAGAACCCCTGTTTGGCGGTCGCTACCATTGTTGCCAGCCGCGGCACGGCAGCCGGCCAGCTCAGCCCTCAATATACACTCCCTCGCCGCTGCGCCGCGCAGCTGCGCCCGTAGGGACCTGCAGCTGCTTGCCAGCCGCTCGCAGAGCGCCAGTGCCCGCCCCGCGTGGCCGGCGAGGCCGCTCTCCACCCGTCCTAGGATGTGCATTGCAGCCGCCGCGCGCGAGCTCAGTCTCTCGGCCTCCTTGCGCGTGGCGCCGGCCGCGGCCTCGGCCTCGTGAGCCCGCGCGGCGCTCTGCAGGAGAGCGTCCTCGGCATCCGCCTCCGCACGCCCGCGCGCCGCCTCCGCCGCGCCCAGCTCGTGCAGCAGGTGCCGCGCGTGCTCGTCTGCCAGCTCAGCGCGCCGCTCAGCGGCCGCCGCCTGCAGCGCCGCGGCTTGCGCGGAGCGCCGCGCGTGGTCGCGGTCTGCGCGCAGGCGGTCCTCCTCGCCCGCGTGGCGGCGCTCCTCTGAAAGCAGCGCCTCCCACTGGCGGTCCCTCAGGGCTTCCATTTGCAATCTGATGTCGTCGAGCGCCGAGAGCCCCGCGCGCCGCGCCGCGTCGAGCTCGAGCGCTGCTTGGGACAGCCCCGCGCGCCGCGCCGCCTCGCTGGCGCTCAGCTCGGAGCGCAGCCGCTCCACCTGCTCAGCGGTCGCGGACGCACCAAGGTCGGCGTCCGCCGCGCAGCGACGTGCCTGCTGCAGCTGCCCCTTGAGGGTCTGGACCTGGATTGTAGGGGAGCAGTCGGTACGTAGCCGCAATGAGTGCGGTGTCTTTTCGCGCACGCTCAGACCACGGTCCTGCAGCGCGCTGCACCGACGCTCCAAACACTTGCGGTGCTGAAGCAGTTGCGTTCAGCGGCAACTGCACAGCGCCAGACCTGCTGCTTGCTTGTTGTGCTTCGAACCCGCCTCGAGTCGATCGTGCACGCTGGGAGGCAGCGGCGGCCGGGCGCACCTCTTCTGCGTGTCTGTCGGCTGCGCGGCGCTGCGACGCGCAGCGCGCCGCCGGGCGGGGCTTGTCACGCTTGATCCCAAACTTGACCATGGTCAAGTCCCAGCCTCAGATGAGTCGTTCTTTGTTTGGTTGGGGTGAGAGTGGGAGATGGTTTGGCAGCGCGGCGCATGGCGCGGCAGCGTGCAGCAGCGGGCGGGGTATAAACTGCAGTATATCTGCCTGGCACCCAGCACAGTAGTTTACCTCCAGTAGTGTTATCTGCTTTATCACGCCAGCAGCTCGGTCTGCTTATGGATCCGGAAAGAACCGCTCGTTGGCAAGTGGCGGCGATAACATGCGAGCACGATTCTATCCACTACTGTGACGTTATTGCTGGCACTCCACAAAATTTGAAGGGCGTGAGGCTGTCAACGTTTTCATCAAGCCCCCGCGCCCTTCAAAGTCTCAAACCCTCCACACGCGCCAACTGGGCCCCTCCTCAGGTGTCTACATTGACACTGGTTGACCACCCCTCTTCAAGTGAACGAATCGATGGTACTGGTGCTTACAAGGCCAATGCAGGGCTTCCTCAAAGCGTCACCATCTGAGGCTGACGGCGACGGCGTCGGCCCGGCCCATCTCCCAATTCGGGTCCCAGGGCTTGTCCACCTCGTGGGGGGCCGCCAGCAGGGTGGTGGCGTAGCGGCCCACACCCTCAAGATGCTCCAGGTAGCCAGGAGCGCCTGGGGAGGGTTTGGAGGCCGGGAGGGGTGATGCAGAGTGAGTCTGCTGGCGGCGCGCCGTCCACACGCTGAGCGCGCCTTTGCGGGGTGCATGCGCGCGCTCGCGGCCAGCGCGGCGGCCCCAGCGCTCGCCGCGGACAAACGTGCAAAGGGCGGCGGTGGGGGCTGCAGCCCGCACGATTGGAGCCCTACCGCCCGATCTCGCGGCAGCGCGCACGCGCCCCGCCCGCGCACCAGCCGGGCTGAAACGCATTCGGCGGCGTGCGCCGCCCGCTGCGGCCGCCGCGCTCGCTTGCGCTCTCAGGGCCCCTGCCGCACGCATGCTGTATTGAGCGCGGTTGCGTCCTCACCCGGATACACCACGTTGTCTGCAGCCACGACTGTGCCGTGCCCTACCAGTCCCAGGGCCTCCGCAGCTAGAAGGTCTGGCAGGTAGCACGGCTTGCTGGGGGGCGAGGGGGGGGGGTGGGAGGGGCAAATTTGGGCAAACGAGGGTCCGGGCGTCCGAGGTTCAAGGGGAAGGGGCGCAGAGGCTGTTACAGGCTTATAGCATTCCAGCACTTTCAAACCTGAGGGCGCACCCCTAGCTGCCGGCCCAGCGCGACGTCTTGACATGAACCGAGGTGTGCTGCGTCGTAGCGTGGCAGGCTGCAGTGCAATGTAGGGCACTGAGGCGCAGCGGAGCGTGTGACGCGCGCCGCCGCGCTCACCAGTGGTCCAGAAAAAGGTAGTCCACCGGCGCCCCGCCTGCAGCTGCGGCCCGCGCTGTCGCGCCAGCTGCCGCCGCTGCCCGCCCTTCCAATGGGGGCGCCCCAGCGCCTCCCTCCCCCGCAGCCCCGCCGGCCGCCGCCGCAGCAGCGGCCTCCGCCTGCTGCTCAACCGCCTGCGCCTGCAGCCCTGCGAGCACGCCGCCGCCGCTGCCCGCCGCCGCCGCCCCCGACGCGCCGCCGCCCTCTCCGGGCCGCGCCCGTTGCCGCGCCGCTGCGATGATGCGTGCGGCTTCCGGCAGCTTCTCGCTGCCGAGGCCCTCGAGGATTGTCACGCGCGCCCCCACCCCCGCGTAGTCAATAATTTGCCGCGCCACCGCCGCGTTTTGGGGGTTGGCCTCTGCAAGCAGGCGGTTGCATGCATTGCGGCAGTCAAGCAGGGGCGTAGATGGTAGGCCGGTGAATGCGGACGAAGCCCGCCCAACGGCTGTGCTTTGCTGCGCCGCCCTCAGCGGCGGCATCACGATAGGGGACGCGCTCCGATGCCTGTCGTATCAAAGCAGCGCGTTCGGCGGAGCAACCAGCAGGCACCTCGCAGGGCCGCGATCGCGCAGAGCCGAACCCCCACCTATGCAGACCAGCAGGCCCCCCTGATCAAGCTGCCGCGCGGTGCGCACGGCGCTGTAGCCCTGCAGGGCGGAGCAACGGGGGCTGGCGGCTTGTCCGTGGCCAGGAATGCATCGGCTTCAGGGGTCGCCCGTGCGCGGGGGCGTCCCGCGCTCCGGCAGCGCCCGAAGGCAGCTCGCAGAGGGGCGGGGCCCGCGCCGGCGAGGTCGACGCGCCGGCGAGGGCGCAGGGAGGTCTGGTGTCGGTCTGGTTTCGACAGCCCCCTTTGAGTCCCTCCTCCTCCCCGGGCCCCCGGCTCTCAATCTCATTGGCAGGACGGCGGCGGCGGCCCGCACCCACCAAGAACGTCCCGATTTCCAGTGCCACCTGCGGCCGCAGGTCCGACAACACCTGCATGGGTGCGGGCCGGAAAGAAATGCTGTCAGGGCGCTCAAGAGACCTGCTTGCATCCAAGGCGTGTGCCGCGGACAGCACTGGCACTGAAGTGAGGCCCGTGTTGCAACCAGGGGCCGCAGGCGCCCCGACTTCGGCAGACGATGCCGCCTGCGGTCCCTAGAGGGCTTCCATGGTGCCGCAGGTGGCGCCGTCTCTGGTCACCGCGCCCTGCTCGTCCGCCTGCGCCCCCGCGTTCCTAATTGACTTTTGCTGTCCACATGGGGCTTAGGTTGCTGCTGTCACCGGCACCTGTGCGCCTGCTGCACCCATCAAGCTCTGTCTGCGGACAACTGCCACCAAGATCTGCCTGTCCTTTACTTTGACTGAGATCTGCCTAGCCGCGGGCCGCACCTGGTCCAGCATAGCACCCTTCTCGGCGCCAATTGCGTACATGGGGTAGTGCCTGCGAAGGATGGATGGAGGGCGGCCGGTGCTGGCTGTGATGGGGGGGGTCGGGCATGTGGGCAGCCACGTGTGCAGGTGTTCGACGATGTGCTGGTCCTGTAGCGTGGGATGTGGCACCTTTCTGAAGTGCCCAGGGCTTGCGCCCTGTATTTACGGGTGACCTTTCCAGCCCAGCAGCCACGTCTACCTCACCCCAGGCGCGCGCTGCCGCAGCAAGCAGCGGTCTTGGCAAGCAGCAGCCCCCAAAAGCGTCCACCCCAGCAACCGCGCGCTCACGTTGCCCACTCGTCCAGCGCCGACAACACCGCTGCCGCGTCTCCAGGCGCCGCCTTGGCCCGCACCCACGGCAGGATGTCGCTCGGCTGCGCATACGGCCATCGGGTGTAAAAGTCTGCCTGGAAGTCGTCGGCATCGTCATCGCCGTCTGCTGCTGCTGCTGCCGCTGCTGCTGCGGGCGACGCAGCTGCTGCAGCAATTGATGCCACCAATGCTGCCAACGCCGCGCGGCGACTGGGTGCGTTGAAGCTCTCATTGTTTTCAATGGCAATTGTTTGCTGTACATGGCTGCTAACACGAACCCTGTGCCTCCCTCTGCATGCCGCGCCTTCGATTGGCTTCAATGATCTCGTGCCGCAGACGGGCTGCTGCACTGCGAGGCCTTGCATCGTGGAAGACAGTACGTAAAATCACAATGTTGATGTCAATCCGCAAAGCCCAAGTTTATCGACCCCACCATCAGCTGACCAGGTCAACGTCACCCGCGCACATGGTTCAGTGGTGGCACCGGTCCCAGGCGCCTGCCATTGGGGCAGACTGCTCTGCACAACACATTGAAGTAAATTGCTTGGTTCGATTTCAAGCGGCTCGCAGATCACCGCGGCACTGTTCAGCCTGTTTTACGGCAGTGCACGGCAGCAACAAGGGAAAAAATCCACACCAGCTTCGCTGCGAACCAGGGCAGTATGTACCCCATTGAATAGCATGGCAATGTTCAGGCCTTGTTGCACAAGCCCTTGCCATGCAGGTGCGGCACGCATGCCTATAGTGCGGACCTTGGTTGTTTGACCAAGCGCTGCCGCGCAGCATGCTTGCGACATGGCAGTAATGAGCGAAGCCACATGTCCCTGCAGAACTGACACGTTGTATGCGCCACAGTAAGGATGCGGCGCATGCCTGTATTGGCGCGATTGGCCCGCCCTCCCCCCCTTGCACCTACCCAGCGGTCGCCCCAGAAGTGAGAGGCCCGCGCAGCGGTGGATGTACCCGACTAACACGACGGTGGAATAACTTCAATGCGCATTTGTTTCTAGCTTACAACCACTTGTTGAGTTGGTTCATCAGCTCCGAACGCATCTACAGCATCAAGCGCGCACCTGCAGCATCAAGCGCAGGTTGCTTACCGCTCGCAAAGCCCCTACGCTTCACCTCTTTTCCGTGCCAGAGCTTCTGACACGCGCGTCCATTCATCAGGCGACGACCCCAGCCACGCAGCGCGCGAGAGAGTGAGACAGGGGCTTGATCCGGCCGTGGGCGTAGGCCCGTATAGAGGCAGTGATGGAGGTCTCTTCGCTGGCGTATGTAGGGGCCGACACCACGGCGCCCACACCCGAAGCCCTCGCCGCAGCCCTGCATGTGCACCAGCGCGTCGCCTCGTCACACGAAGATGCGCCGCTGCACCGGCGCGTGCTCCGCTTCATCCTATCGCCGCTGGCCCGGCTGCAGCGCGGCGGCGATCAGCAGGAGACACAGCGGCAGGAAGAGGATGCCTCCTCCGACCTGCAGGACGACATGCTGTGCGGTTGCAGCGAGGATGGGACTGAATTTTCAGGGGAGGATGTCCTCGGCAGCAGCCCATTTGCATCCTGCGCCGACCTGCAGGACTACCGCCGCATGCTTGCGGAGCGCCGCGACGCACGCGCCGCGCAGCTGCAGCGGCGGCGCGCGCGGGACGCCGCAGGCCAGCGCGAGCTCGAGCGCGCGGCGCGGCCGGGGCCGCTGCGGCGCCTGCTGCAGTGGGCCGTGCGCGGCGCACGGGCGGCGGGGCGGTGCGTGAGCCCGCAGGGCGCGGGTAACAACGACGCAACTCTGGGGGAGCGGATATTCAATGTGCTCACGTCGATCCCCTTTGTAATCGTTGGCCTTCACAGCCTGAGGTGAGGGATCACGGTCACAGCCTCATGCAGCGCGCTGCCTTGCAGGCTGGCCGTTCGCGCAAACACCCCTGCCAGACAGCGTGCTTCTGGCTGCGGCGAGGGCTCAATGCAAGCGCAGTGGCTGCAGGCATCCCCACGCCAGCCTGCAAGCTGTCCCCCCAGCCACCTTCGCCTCTCGTCTTGGTCGCAGCACCTTGACACCTCCTCTTGACAGCCCCCGCCCCGCTTTCGACCCCTCCCCTCCCGCGCCCCCAGGGGCGAGGGCGGCCCCGCGCGCCGCAACTTCGGGCTGAGTTTCGTGGCCACCGGCGTCATCGCCGCCGTGTACCACGCCAGCAGCGGCGGCGCGCGCCTCGTCATGCGCAAGCTGGACTACTGGTCGATCGCGCTGACGTCCTCGGTGCTGCGGAAGGCGACCGGCCTCGGCGTGCCGCCGCTCGTCAACGCCGCCGCCGCGCTGCTGACGCCCCTCAAGCCGACGCTCGTCACGGGCGCCAACCTGGCCATCATAGAGGCGCGCTACCTGAAGACAGCCATGGAGCACGCCCACCTGCGGCCCTCCTTCGGCGCGCACATCGGCGTCGCCGCCACCGGCCTCGGGTTCTTCATGCTGGAGGACGTCCTGGTCCTGGGCATGGGCGCGCCGCCGGTGGTGCACAGCCTGTGGCACCTGCTGAGCACGGTGTCGCTCAGCCTGGTCGGGCCGCTCCTGACACACTGCGAGGCGCCGCTGCTGCGGCAGGGCGCGCAGATGGTGGCTGCCGCCGCCCGGTGAGCGCTCGCGGCGCACGGTGCCGCGCCACCAAGCCGCGGGACCTCATTTCGTTGGACCGCCGCCACGGGGCCGCGGATTTCATTTCATGTGGCAGAACGCCCACATGTTGTCGCAGCGCACCGCCCAAAGGCGAGGGCCCCTGCCACTCCTGTAGTTTCTTATCGCCGCCCGGGCCCTTGTGCCAGGTGATGGCGGCGCCTTTGCTCTGTCACAAGCCATTTGTTAGCTCAAACCTGATGACTACTAGAGAAGATTTGACGGACCGGCGGAGTCGGAAACCCCGTATTGCGGCGCGCCCGCTGTAGTCGTGCAACAAAGCACGATGCGGGCAGGCAAGACCCTGGGCTGGGTCTTCGCCCTTTGTTTGTTTCAACCCTATCGTTGTGCTTGTTCCTTGTTGTGTCGCATTACTTTTAATTGGGTGCGCATGAATGGTCATGCGAATTGGGTCGCAGGCTGCACTGGGTGCTGACCGCACCGGCCCCAACCCATCCACCGCGCCCGTGCTGCAGCAGCACATGCACGCCACGGCGTGGCAGCCGCACTCGCGCCCGCCGTGATGCTTGACTTGCACCAACTTGTGCGCCAGCCCTTGCGCTGATGCGTGCCCTTTCTTTCAACAAAACAGAGTCCCTGTACTGACATTCCCGAGGCTGCTGTGTAATCAGCAGGTTGTGTGCTCCACCCTTGCACCGGCCCAACAGCTGCCGAGTCCTTGAGTATCACGCAACTGAATTTGTTGTGTACATCTCGTGCAAGGGGGGTTTCAATCCGGTCATCCAGGCCCCTGCAGCGACAGCAGCAGCTTACACACACACTAATAATCAAGGCAATACAAAGCACTGCAGCAAATCATGAGCAAGAGGGCAGGCTGGCTGTTGCGGATCAAAGGATAGCAAAGCGGTAGCGGCGGATAGCAAAGCGGCGGAAACAAGCGACACGGCGCCCGACCCCTGCGCAACCAGTGCTGCGCTGCCTTGCAGGGGTGGACGTCACTTCCGAGGACACACCCAAGGGCAGTTGTTGCTTGGCGCCACTACCGAGACGCACTACCCGGTCACGCACCCCGTGCTGGCTCTCCCCTGATATCGCAGTGCGGGCCCCGCCGCGTCTCCGTCCCGGCCCCACAAGCAGAGTCGGCTGAGTGGGGTGTTGCTAGTTCAAGGCGGGCACAGACGCGGCGGACGACCAGCAGACATGAGTCAAAAAGCGCCCCCTGGCAGCACCCTCCAATAAAAACCCCGCGCCTCGGTTGACCTGCCTCAACCGGCCTGCACAGGCCTCCCCTGCGGCTTGCTCCCGCCGAGCGCGTGCCATGCAAGCCGCGTGGGCGCCGCGGCGGCCCAGAGCGCGGCGCGCGCTGGCAGCAGCGCCCACCAGACGGCGGCGGAGATGAGCCAGCCCGCGGTGCGCACGCCGCTCTGCAGGACCGACACCTGAAGGGCCACCCACCACACCAGCGGCGCGGCCAGCGCGCGCGCCGCGGCCGCAGCCGCCCTGACCGCCGCGGCGGCCGCGGAGGGCCGGTCGCGCGCAATCGCGGCCTCACGCGCCCCCGCAGCGCCGGCCGCCGCGCCGTCCGCCGCGCCGTCTGAGCGGTACGCCACAAAGCTACCGCGGCCTGCGGGCCCCGGCGCCTGCTCGGGCGCCGCGTCTTTGTCTGTTCTAGGCACCAGCTTATCCGCTGTGAAGCCCGTGGCCCCCCTCAGCCCCTTGCCGGCCCCGGCTTCGCCGCCGGTCGCCTTCTGGGAGCTGCTCTCCTGGCGCTGCTCTTGGGGGCTCGCCATCCGGATGCCCACCGGCACCGCGGCGGCCGCCGCGTGGCCCAAGCCCAAGCCCCATCCGCTGGCCGCCGCGCCAACGGCGGCCCCTGCCGCGCGTGCAGGCGCAAGCACTGCGCCCGCGAGCGCGCCGCCCGCGCGGCTTGCGGCCGACAGGAATGCCGCCCCCCTCCACCCTGCCTCGCGCGGCGGCGCGGCGGCGTGGCTGCCTGGCGGCGCCGCGGTCACCAGTCCCACCCGTGGCGGCGCCGGCGCCCTGATGGGCGCGGCAGCAAGCCCCTCCTTCATGGCGCATCCTTGACTGCCATCAGCACCCGCCACTGTCGCCGCACTGCGCCCGACAGACGCCCCGCCGCCGCCCGCCCACCCGGCCGTGGCGCCGACCGCCACAGCGGCCGCCTGGGCCGCGGCGAGCGGCGCGAGCGCGAGCGACTGAGCGACCGCGGCCAGGACTTGCAGGGTTGCGCCCGCCTGGCGCCCCCCAGACGCGTGCAGCGGCGGCGAGGCCGGGCGCGCGGCGGGGCATCCTCGGTCGCCGGCGGCCGCGGCCTCCGCGCTGCTGGCGCGGGCCTCTGTCGGCGCGCGTCCTGCTGGCAGGGCCGGCAGCGCGACGGCGGGGGCAGGTTTGTCCCCTGCGCCGCTGTCGTCAGACGAGGCCGGCTCAATCTCGGAAAGCCAAGAGTCAGCCCTTGCCGCAACCCCGGCCGCCCCCGACCCCGCCGGCAGCGGCGGCCAGAGCGTTTGCAGCGGCGAGGCGCCGCCTGCCGGCGCGATTTGCGCGTCCGCCGGCGGGAGCGGGCGGGCGGCGGCGCCGGCGACGGGCGTGGGGTGCGGGGTGAGGGGGCCGCCCCCGTCAAAGATGGGCGGCGAGGCGCCATCTGCCTCTTGCGCTTCCAGCGCCTGGAGGGTCGCGGGGGCCACGGCGCGGGCCTGCCGATCGGCTGGCCCCAGCTTGGGCGCCGCGGCGGCCGCGGTATCGTGCGCAAAGGGAGCGGCGTCGGGCTGTGGCCGCTGCGGCGTCCCGCGGGGCGCGTGCCGGGCCGTGGCTGTAGGTGCCGTCTCTCCGCCCTGCGCCGCGCGCCGCGGGACGACCGGAACGCCCGCTGCCGCCAGGGGCTGCTCCGCGAGCGGCGACTTGGCGGGGCTGGCTGCGGCGCCGCCGTCTTGGCCGCGAGCGAGGGAGCTGTTGTATTTGGCCGCGATTTCTGAGAGCCGCTGGTCTGCGCCGGCGCCGGCGCCGTCCAACGTCAGCGAGCGCGACTCAGGTTTGTCGTGGCGGCCCGACGATGCCAACGGCGGGCTCGGGC